TGTATAAAGTTCATTTGAAGGACAGATCTTCATGTCCTAAAAGTAAAAGGCACTATCTTAGATGCATGGACAGGTCATTGCTTTAGGAAAGGAAAAGTTTTGGTCTGAAACGAAAGGTCCCTTTTTTTTTTTTTGGAAGTATTTTTAAAAGAGAAAGTGGAGGATTAGATGAAAGGTTTGACCGGATAGAAACATATTTAGAATGTTGATTAGCATCGAGGACGAGCATGAACATCGCAAGCGGCGCCGATTAAGTATTTTTTTTTAGTTGAAATTAAGCTAACTAAAGTGAATATCACATTTTTCAATAGATTTTGAAAATTGAAAGAGTACCCATTTTAGATCAGTTTTTTGCTTCAAAAGGAAAATTGTATTTTCAAAATATATTTAATAAGGCACGACAAATATACTAGGGACAATTTTTTTAAAATTTTTTCCATAAAGTAATCCACTACGAAAAGAATAGAAGAGAAGGAGAATCGAATGTTAGTAGGTCGTTTCCTAAATGAAGGACCTTTCCAAATTAGGTGTTTCATTTTAACAAGTTTTAAATCTTTTCCAAAAAAATTGGAGAAATTGTTTTTCTTATGAGGTATCAAATATATAACTGGAAAATGTGAGTTTAGTCTCATTTTTTTGGACTTATTAAATTATCCCCGGATGAAATAATAAAAAAGATAAAAAGAGAGGCTCGTACTATTTTTACACTCTAAATGGCTTTAACACCCCCAACTATTGTGTTGACAAAAATAATTTGAAGAGAACTAATTAATCATTATCACAAATGGAAAAAGTGAAAGTTGATATTTATTGGAAATATGAAAGCCGCACATTGTAATGAAAATACAAAATTGTCCGTATTTATTAAAATAATGATGTTTTATTCCACCACCTAACTTATTTTTCAATGGTTTTAAAGGGGTATCTCGTAATTGACCCAATAAATTAGTAAAAAATACAACAAAGTTTTAAAAAAAAGTCACTAAAATGAAATTGGATTTGATGTATTAGCTTCTAAACTCTATAAGTCCAATTTCTTTAAAAAAATTATTATCTTATTTTACGGGAAAAAGCCACAAAAAATCTCAAATTATGTCCACTGTGAATAATTTATCCTATATTTTTTTCTTATGACATAAAAAACTCCAAACTATATTAGCTGTAACACACTTACCCTAAATATTTATTATGACATCAAAAACTTAAAACTTGTACATATATGACCCATTTACCTTTTGTCGAGATTTTGTCATATTATTTTCGGCCTAATTCCCTAACCTCCCCCCCCCAAACCAAATTTTAGGTCAAAACCTAATTCTACCCCACTTTTTTTTGTCTTAAAGAAACTTTAATCCAATCCCAATTCTGTCCCCAACCTTTTTTTTTTGTCTAAAAGAAAATCTCAAATTTAAGTCCAGTCCCAAATTTGCTTTGGAAAAAAGTCACCAACTTACAATCTAGCCTTAAATTTTCCTCCATTAACCATTTGTCAAAAAATTATCATTAGTTGTTTGATGTGGCATTTCTACATTGGTAACAAATCCACCTCAGTAAGGTGACGTGGAAATTATCTTCAAAACGAAACTATTCTTTGATATGAAAATAGAGAAATTAGGGATGATTAACAATGAGTTTTGGAAAGAGGGCTAACGGGGGCAGATTTGGAAATAGAGTTGGAGTTGATGATTTTATTTAGACAAAAAAAATTGGGAAAAGACCACAAAAATCCCAAACTATGCCTATTGTGACACATTTACCCAAACTTTTTTTTATGACACCAAAAATCTCAAACTATGCACATTGTGACACATTTACCCTCCGTTAGGATTCTATTAAATGTCTCTGTTAAAACTCTGACGTGGCGCTGACGTAGCGCTCGCGTGGTGCCACATCAGAAAAAAAAATTTTAATTTTTTTAAAAAAGTCACTGTTCATCGCGAGTTACTATTCATCATCTTCTCGCTCAGCCAGAGCTCTTTCGGAGCTCGTCCATCACTGTCCACTGCCGCCTAGACCTCCTGAAGCTTCGTCGTAGCTGCCAACCATGGCGGCGGCGAGGTTGAAGCTTGGCCATAGCAAAGAATGAACAACATTGAGCTAGCACGTCAAACTTGCCTGTCTACTTGAGGGAAGGTTTTAATTTAAATTTTTTAAAAAAGTCACTGTTCATCGCGAGTTACTATTCATCGTCTTCTCGCTCAGCCAAAGCTCTTTCGGAGCTTGTCCATCACTGTCCATTGCCGCCTGGACCTCTTGAAGCTTCGTCGTAGCTGCTGACCATGGCGGTGGCGAGCTTGAAGTTTGGCCATGGCCGCTCCACTTGAGCTCGAGCTAAGCGGCCATGGCCAAGCTTCAAGCTCGTTCCTTTTCGGCTTTTCTTTTCTTATCAAAATGTGCATAGAAGATGATAATGCAAGGATCGGAAGTTTTACCATCAAGAAAGACAGCCATTCGAGTTGAACCCAATGGAACCCGGATAGCTTCCGAGAAGTTTCAGAGGAAGAGAACCTCCGGCTGTGAGATCGAGCGACACCTCCATGGCCTTGCCATTTCCCCCGTCCTTAATATTGAGCTTCAATTCTTCGACCTTGTAGTTTGGCAGCCGTGAGCTTGAAGCTTGGCCATGGCGGTGGCCTGAGGGCGAAGCTTGGTCGAAGTGGATCTTCGTCATCATATTCCTCTTCTTTGTCATCAGGCCAAGCTTCGAGCTCTAGTGGCCGCCATGGCCGAGCTTCGAGCTTGAGCGGAACGGCCATGGCCAAGTTTCGAGCTCGCGACTACCATGGTTGGCAACTACAACGAAGCTCCCGAAGGTCTAGGTGGCAGTGGCCAGCAACGGACGAGCTCCGGAAGAGCTATGGTCGAGCGAGAAGATGATGAATAGTAACTTCGAAGACGATCAACAGTAACTCGCGATGAACAGTGATTTTTTTGAATTTTTTTTAAATTTTTTTTTCTGATGTGGCGTCACGCGAGCACCATGTCAGAACCACGTTAGAGTTTTAACGGAAATTTTTAATAAAGCCCTAACGGAGAGTAAATGTGTCACAATGTGCATAGTTTGGGATTTTTGGTATCACAAAAGAAAGTTTGGGTAAATGTATCACAATGGGCATAGTTTGGGATTTTTTGTGGTCTTTTCCCAAAAAACTTTGGAGTACATTTGAAACCAAATCTAAAGTTGGGTTTTTTTTAAACGAAAAAAATTTCAAGGCAAATGTACACTGGACTTAAGCTGGGGGTTTTTGTAATAAAAAAAAAGCTCGAGTAGAATTAGGACCGGATATAAAGTTAAGGGCCTTTTAGGGAATTAGGCCAATTTTTTTCCAATAAAAAAAATATATATTTTTCACTTAAGTCATATGGCTCCATGTCAACACTATTTGCGTCATCCATGTAAGCAAATTTTTAATAGTGTGCTAATTGACGGAACATTGACAAAGGGTAAATGGATCATAAAAGTATAAGTTTGAGATTTTTTATATAACAAAAAAAGTGTAGAGTAAATATGTCATAGTGAGTATAATTTAAGGCTCTTGATGATTTTTTTTCTTTTTTTTATCCGTAATCAATTAACACAGGTTTCTTGATAAGAAGAAGCTCCTCTAAGATGACAAATTTATAATATAAAACTCGCGAAAAGAGTACACAAATTGCTATTTTGGGAATACCTAAAATCTATTCCGTAAAGTTTCCTATTTTCGAAAGACGCCGAGGTTAGTTACTATCGTTACATATAATTAAATAATTTAACTTTTGATCACAAATCTTTTCTTTAGAAGGACACAAAAGAACACATAAAATATAACAATCCATAAGACACTCCTTTTTCACAACAGGTGATTAGAACCTTTTAATCATCTTTTAAGGCAGAGCAATAAGAACCTCCTAATCTTATATTAATTAACCCTAAAGCCCTACTAGCATCAAACTTTTGAGGGGGGTGGGTGTCACCCTCCCCCACCCCCACATCCGCCACAACCGAAAAAAAGTTGTATGAACCTATACCATCGCGAATTCGGCAGATAAAGTCAATCACGATATCGAAGTTAATGCGTGAATCATAAACTTTGGTGAAAGACCGACTCTGGAAACACTTACCGAAAACCGAAACAAAGTAAAAGAAATTGATGAAAATTCAAATGGAGATGCTTTAGAAGACACTTGTTCAACGTGGGTCTCTGTTGTTTTCTTAAATGCGATTAATCTGATCTGTCAAACACGAGGGGAGGGGGAGGGGGGGGGAAGAGACTGTGTTCTTTCTTTTTCTTGAGAAAGAACAGAGCCCGTCCCACCAAGAAAAGGGGAAACGATGACTCCCATGATTTTCTCTCTCTCTCTCTTTTTCTCTTTGTGGGGGGGTTAAAGCAAAGACTGTTCCCTCTTGTCTTTCAGTGAATCTCTCTCTCTCTCTCTTTCTCTCTAAGTCGGCTTGCGTCCCTTCCATTAAATTTTGAAGCTGACAGAGCAGAGCAGGGCAGAGAAGAGCAGGGTCCCTCCCCCCCTTCCATCCCTTCCCTTCTTCTCCTCTTCCTCTTCCTCTTCCTCTTGCTCTTCCTCGGCCTGTAGTGTCCCACTTCTTGTCCTCTCTCCCTCTGCTGCCGTAACATCTCTCTCTCTCACTCTCTCCCTCTCACTCTCTCTTCAACGCACAAACACACGCACAAAGAGACAGAGAGACGGAGAGAGACGAGTGGTGATGGCCCGATAAAGCCAGCCAGCCCCATCAATGGATGGACTCCCATGATTTTCTCTCTCTCTCTTTCTCTCTTTGTGGGGGGGTTAAAGCAAAGACTGTTCCCTCTTGTCTTTCAGTGAATCTCTCTCTCTCTCTCTCTCTCTCTCTAAGTCGGCTTGCATCCCTTCCATTAAATTTTGAAGCTGACAGAGCAGAGCAGGGCAGAGCAAGAGCAGGGTCCCTCCCCCCCTGCCATCCCTTCCCTTCCTCTTCCTCTTGATCTTCCTCGCCCTGTAGTGTCCCACTTCTTGTCCTCTCTCCCTCTGCTGCCGTAACAACATCTCTCTCTCTCTCTCTCTCCCTCTCACTCTCTCTTCAACGCACAAACACACGCACAAAGAGACAGAGAGACAGAGAGACAGAGAGAGACGAGTGGTGATGGCCCGATAAAGCCAGCCAGCCCCATCAATGGATGGGCTCGAGTAGTCCAGTCCTACTCGCTTGCTCATGCCGAATGGGTTCGAGGCGGCCTCTCACCCACAGTTCAGCAGGCTCCTCCTCCTCCTCGTCGCCCCCGGCCGCTCCCAGCGCCAACGGCCCCAAATTCGGACCGGAAATCCAATTCGGGGACGTGGGCCAGGGCCTCCGGGCGAAGCCGGCGGGCGGCTCCACCTCGTCGGGGTCGGGGTCAGGGTCCGGGTCCGGGTCCGGCGGGACCCCGCCGAAGAAGGCGAGGGCGGCCGGCGGCGGCGGTGCCCAGCAGCCTCCGAGGTGTCAGGTGGAGGGATGCAATGTGGATCTGAGCGGGGCCAAGTCCTATTATTCGAGGCACAAGGTGTGTGGGACGCATTCCAAGTCGCCCACCGTCGTCGTTTGCGGCCTCGAGCAGAGGTTTTGCCAACAGTGCAGCAGGTCTCGCCCTCAGCCCTTCGGTCACTTCTATGTTTGGGTGGCCTTTTCATCTTTGTATTTTGCTTGGGTTCTTCTTTGGGCAAAATTCGTGGGAAAGTTCAGTTCTTGACGGACCCTGTCATGTGCGTGGGATGTGTCCTTCAACTCACTTTTTTCCTTTGAAGGATGGTTAACTCTTGAGAAAAAAGAATCCGCTTTACTTTTTCCTTTTAACATTTCCAATTTCTATGTCGGGTTGACGACGAGTCAAACACGGCGAGTGGGAATCGATCCGTTCGGACAGGCCGTGTACTGAGTAGAAAATTCAGTTACTTGTTCCGACGTGCGGCCGTTTGAGTTGGCATTACTTTGTTGTTTGGGAGGTAACTGAGCTCGTGTTTACAGTTGGGTCATTGGTTCATTTTGGGCATTGGGTGATTCTGCTGCTTCTTAATTGGATCAAGTCTTATGAATAGTTGACTAGTGCTCTTCATGTCCTTTGTGTTGGTTCTAATTGGCCTGGGTCTGGGTGACTCTTTTCTTTTTTCTGATTCTGGTGCTTGTTTTCAATGTTTTGTTTCTGTTTGTTTGGGTTCTTGGGATGGTGTCTTATTCGGTCGGTGGATCTTTTCTTAGTTGCTAATGGTGACTGGTTTGCAAAATTGTTCTTGGTAATTGTTTTGTCTCCTTTTCAAGAGTAAACTGCAAATTTTGATGCGTGATCCTGTTTCAGCTATTGGCTTGTCTGGATTTCAATCATATAATGTGATCTCGCGGAATTCAGTTGTTAGTAAAATCTGTGATGTACTCTTTGTGTTACTGTAATCTCAAAACGTGTATGAGCCTTGTTTGGTCGGTGGCTTCTGTTTACTGAACTAGGATTGCCCCGTGCTAATGTGCCCGGCCTCGAACGTTCTCAGATATGATCTGAAGTGTTTTATGCCTTCTGCTCTTCTTCCATTGCTGTTGGAATTTGTCGGCTTCTAATTCTGGTGCGTTTAACAGGTTCCATCAGCTTAATGAATTTGACCAAGGGAAAAGAAGTTGCCGCAGACGTTTGGCCGGTCATAACGAGCGTCGTAGGAAGCCACCTCCTGGATCATTACTCCCCTCTCGCCACACTCGCTTCTCTTCCTCTATTTATGGTGATGTATCTTCTCTATTTGAGTGTTGGATTAATTTATCATCTGTGCTTATATTTGATGCTTTGCAGATAACAGCACTGGAGGCGCAGGATTTGTGATGGACTTCAGTACATATCCGAGGCCGCCTCCGAGTGAAGCATGGATCGCTGCTCAAGCATCCAACCAGGGACGTGGAAATCAGACCCTGGGCCAGGAAAAACTCCAGTTACATCCTTTGTGGCAGAGCAGTCCCCAAAATCATCAATATGACCTCTTGCTTCAAGGTCCGTCTCCATCGGTGGGAGGGACCAGCTTTCCTGGTCCCGGGATTCCTCCAGGAGAAAGCTTTAACCCCAGCTGTGCTCTCTCTCTTCTGTCAAACCAACAGTCGGACTCTGCAAGTCAAGTATCGGGTCCTGCACTTAACAGCGATGTCCTGAGCCCTCAAGCCTCAGTCGGGGCTCAAGTAATAAGTCCTCTTGATGCTGCTGTCAGCAATTTTTCTAGCGCCTCGTGGGCTTTGAAGGTAAATGAGGCTGGCGGCAGTGCGCCAGATATCGCCCCTGATCTTGGTTTAGGTCATGTGTCACAGCCTCTCAATGGTCCGTTCTCAAGTGGCCTCGAGTTCTCTCTGCAGAGCAGGAGGCAGGACACGGACCAAGATCATTCTCAGAATTACAACTCAACTCAGCAGATGCACTGGTCGCTCTAAGCACCCAGTTCTGTAGAATTTGCAAAACCAGAGTATATTAAGGAATTTGACATTGATTCCTGCTTTCTGGATTTAGCTCATCTTGTATCGACGTACCTTGTTTTTTCTGCTTAAGAACAATGTAACACAATGTAACGAAGTAAGATGCTGTACTTTTCCAATTGTTCAACTGTCATTTGGCCGCAACTGTTTCCAATTCTAATGCGAGCAGCGTCAATTCTCTGTGACTAGGATGTAGTTATTTACTAGATACCAGGCAGTGATAATGGAGTTGAATGCCAAGTACTTTCCAGTTCCGACTTTGAAGCTAGCATCCATAGAGCATGACGAGCCCAGCAGAGAGCAAGGGCATGTAAGCATCAAGATCAAACGGGAGATGCTAGTATTAACTGATCTTGGCGTAGTTAACAGGATGCTCTTCAGTATAAAATACTAAGGGTTCTTCTGCAGACCAACGTGAAATTCAATTCAGATTGGACACTAATGATCATGCACCATAATGTTTAACACCAAAATCCGAGTGCCAATCAAAAGAATAAAGTTGCGCCCACTTTGTGGTATGCACATATATTAATGTTACATGAGTGAAATTTCGACTGATTACAAGAAACCCATGGGGAGAGCTAGCCCTGTCTGATGCTTCTCGAGAACATGCTACGCAACAACTCTAGACAATCCAACGGAATGGAGCATGTGAGTAGAAATCTTAATGACCTTTATCCCCCTGCCTCGAACAAGGCAAATAATCCATAAATCAGCCACGGTTGCATCACTTCCGATGCACATAGCAATCAAGGACACATTAGTCGTTGCTTCTTAAACGTGCACCAGAGTTATAAATCCAATGAGTCCACCAAATAAATCGATCCGAAAATTCTCTGACCAAAAGCAAGTTTCTTCCTCTGACTTTTGTATCACGAGCTGCACCATTCAAGTTTGTGGCAAGTGGACAATCATTTCGTCCTGGCATTCTAATGGTCATCTTCTTCTGTCCCCGGGCAGTCGGATAACAGTTCTTCTTTAGATCCATACTGAGAAGAGAATTGTACCCACATGTTAATCTTACTAATATTCAATGCCCGACTACTAAAAGTAGCATTCCAGCTTACATTGCTGGCTTACAATGTAATATGATGCACTCATCTAATCGAACAGTAACCAAATGAAACCACTGCAAGATGCTAACTCACCCAACATCCACAGAAGAGGCAGTAGTTATACTCATCTCTTAGTTTCATCAATACAGCCAGTAAATCCTGTATGCAGCAGAAAGCAGTCAGTCATTCATAACTGTAGTGCCACATTATCCATGAGCCATCCTAAATATGATTCAGCAATGAACTTCGTGAACAGATGCTTATGCAACATTTTATATTCAAGGACTTGAGAGAAATAAACAGAGGCAGATCTCTGACAAATTTTCCCCTACGGAATTTCAGTCACACAGATGAACTTCCACAAATTTGGAAGAGTTTTAAGATGAACTGCAAAGAAAGGCAAAAGCAGTTGCTTAATTAACTGAACCTCCATCTTCAATCAGATGAACATAATGGGTGACAAACTTTTTCACGAGTTACGAAAAAAGAACCATTCAGTTGCACAGCACAATGAATGTAGAAAATCCTCTTAATGATATCAGTCACGCACTACACATCACTAATTCACTGTCATTTCACCTACTTTCACTGCCATAAAACCAAGGATGCAACAAAAGCATATGATAGTCTGAAACTAAAACCTCACTCCATTAAAACAATATGTTTCACCATTTCTAGGAAACAAAATGAGCAAGCCAAAGCCATTTAAATGTAATGAATGAAACTGAGATTTAAAGAGAATCTGGATTCTGGTATATGGCATCAAAGAACATACCTCTTCCGTAATTACTTCCTCTTCCTCTTCATCCTGTTCACCCTCCTCCTCGTCCTCATTCTTCTCGGGCTCCGGAAATTCCTTATTCTCTAATTGATCCAGTGCAGCCTTTGCCTTCTGGAAATTTACAAATATCCTCCGACTCCGCCACTGTGATTTTTGCCGAGATCCGAACTCTTCCATCAAGGACTCCTCTTTCCTTATCTTCTTCACTGACCTAATCTCTTCCTGCTTTTTCTTCTCTTTATGTGGGTCCTCCCTTCCAATACCAGCTCGCGAGCGCCGAATCTTGAGCCCCACAGGTTCAGCCTTCCCCGAACCCTCCTTTCCCAGGGCCGAACCGGGTGTGTAGCCCATCCGCTTCAAAAGCTTGAATCCGACATTGGATTCCGGAATCGGAGCCTCGATTCCGGCCAGAGTCTGCTCATCCTCTTCTTGTTGCTTCCGCTCTATCTCAAGTTTCCGCCTTTCTTGCCAGTTAAGGAACTTGGTTTTCTTGTTGGAGGATTGAACAGGCAAGGGCTTAGCATTCGAAATCTGCCCAAAGTCCAGAGTATCAAGTCATTACTCTAACCCAATTCATCACTCAATGAACACCCACAACATATATCCAAACAAAACATAAAACGACCGGCGTGATCGTGTCACGACAAGCGGCTAATCTGCGCAGGGGAAACTTTCCTTACGTAGAAAAGGAAAGTTAACATCAACTTCAGCCCGCAAACGAATGTCGCCGGAGCCGGGCGGCTCATGAAGTCGCAATGCGAGGTCAGTGACGTAGAGTTCTAAACATTCATACCCACATACGTTTTCCTCAAGAAACTGCACGCTATACTATCGACTTCGCTTTATCTAGAGGCAAGGCGAAGAAACTATCGGTTAAGATAGGAGATTCTGCGCCTCGATGGCTGGCTGATAGCACGCCGGAGAAACGAAATACACGAAAGAGGAAGAGAAACTTGGACACCCAGAGGCGAAACGAGAACCGAAACGAATTGTGATCGGTGAGGGGTAGATGGTTCGGGGGCGGCGAGAGAGAGAGCAGTACCTTCTTGGAGGAGCGCTTAGGAGGGTCGGGCTCGTCGGAAGGAAGGAAGCGAGAGAGGTCCCCCATGTAATCTTCTGCGTCTGCATCTCCTTCGTCGTCCCTTCCGTTTCTGCTCGCGTCCTCGGTTGATTCCGCCATGAAAGAGAGGAGCGAGCTCTCTCAATGCGTGCCTGCAAGAAACGCAAGAAGAAGAAGAAGAAGATATTAAGAAGAAATGGGCCGCTATATGGGCTTCATTCAAGTGAACCCAAAATGGGCCTTTGGCCATTTTGGATTTTATTTACCAAAATTTAGAATTTTTGCTTATTTTTGAGTTTTATATATATATCTATATATTTTGGTCGAATATTTTGAGTCATATTCACTTAAATGGTTTTATTTAAATGAGTTATAAATAGATTTAAAATAGTGAAGCTTAAAATAATATGGATATTAAATGAGTTTGCAACTTAATTAAACACAACCCACATCTATGACTCTATCTTCAATTTCTCTTGCCTTCATTTGATCTTGTGCTCGCTTGCTTCATGCTCTCACCTCAATTTGGATGGAAGTTTTTCTAGATTGGCTTAACTATAGAAGTGTTTTAACAATATGGATCGGATTAATTATGGGTTGAGTATGAGTTCGATTGGGTACGAGTCATTAAATTTATATTGCATGAAAATCGATCAAAACAGGTTAACTGAGTTAATTTAGGTCATACCATTTTTAACCCAATCCAACCCACTCATTTGACAAATTTAGTAGTAAGGAATCGTACTTCACACTGGTGAGTGGGACTGAAGCAGCAACACCACTCGGTGCGGCGTCCGACACCCACGGATGGAAGCCATTCTCTATACTTTCTGTCACATGCCGCTTGAATAGATTTTTTTCGCAACCAATCCACACAAGATCCATACAAGAACGATGAGTTTTCGCAACCAATCCACACAAGATCCATACAAGAACGATGAGCCATTGTTGGCTTCCACGGTGTGTCGAGAGAATCCTGAGTCGAAAGCTCTTACGTAGGATAGGAGAGCCGTCGCGCAGGGAATCTTTAACGAATAGAAAGGGGCAAAGCTTCTTTATTTCGAGCAACCACTCAAGCATAGAGGACCCGCGCAAGAGAGAAATTGTGTTAGTTGCAATGGTAAATGATGTAGTATGTAAGTAGAACGTCTGTGAAAAGGTACCCCAAAGAATGCTACGTTCTAAAAGAAAGAGACTTCCTAACACCTAACTGAAGAGTTCTATCGCATCAAGGCAGACGAATTCAATTGAGAATCACCGCAGGAATGCCCCCCCTTCGCTCGCGCGACGTCTAAAGCCTATGCGCCAATTCCGATATTCAACAAGGTATTGATCTCTCCGATGATGTTAACCGGTCTTCCGTCGAACATGGACGAAAGTGTAGTCTCGCAAAGCTTCTTCAGCTCCCGGGTTTTCCGAAGAGCAGCTTCCTGTAGTCAACACCAAAACCACTCAGAATTAAATTAGATCTCCGCTCTCGAGACAATTCAGAACATGCAGCAAAAGCCTTTTTTTCCCCCTCGAACGACAAGCTATCAAGAACGAACATACCTGCTTTGGCCAGGATGAAGATAGCGAGTTCTGCAGCTCCATGTGTTTAGCAGCAACGTCCTTTAACCCCTCTTTCAACTTAGCTTCATGGTGCTTTTTTTCCTCAAGCGAACTCACCAATCTGTCCAAAAATCTACGATTCGGAGAAACAAAGGAGTTATTAAAGTATGTTTCCCTTGAACTATAGGAAATAGAAAGTAGAGTGGCAACTCCCCAACTTCATATAGTGAAAGCAACGAATTTCGTACATTTTTGAAAACTGAAAAGAAATTGCAATGGACAGACCATCAATCTGAAAGCACCTTTTGGAGTTCAATATCATGATTAAGTCTCGAGTTTTCCTGTTTGTCAGAAGAGAAATGGCCGATGAAATGTCTGAAATCATTGGCTCGATGACATCAGCAGCAAACTGCTGTAGAACAAAGGGAGCAACTGACTGGACTTGATGCTGCAAAGATAATGTCTCTTGATTCCTCAACTCTGCTAATCGCTGATGGAGAAAGGCTTTGATCTGATGAGAGTACCAAATTAGGTAATAACAAGAGATGTAGTCCAAAACAATGTCAGTATAATCTTTGCAATACACAATAAATTTGGCAGGTGACCATGAGATGAACCATAAATTGGGAAAGAACCATTGAGTGACGCAACAAACTAAACGTTACCTCATAGAGATCATCGAGAATCTTATTTCTATACTCTGTATCTAAAAGCTGGCTTCGACCTTCCTCTGTTTCTGCAGCTTGTGCAACAGTTGGTGAATTAACTGCACCTACATTGGGCAAGCTAACATCATCAATGACATCAACTTGAGGTGTTTCAACACTAACATCCCAAGATATCTCTGACACTGATGTGTCCTGTCCAGCATTGCTTGGTTGATTTTGATTAGGTTCGACGGCTTCATTGACCTCACTTGCTGTGACAATTTCATAAGTACCAAAGCCATTACCACCGTCATCAGTTTCTTCCACAGTCCCAATATCCCAATCAATTGCAGCATTGTCCACTGAGATATCCCAATCGATATTATCTGCAGCAGCATCCACATCACCGATTGTCTCATTGAAGCCTGATAGAGTATTTGCAGAGTCTGTGATATCAGAGACAGCAGAAACATTCAAAGACGGTGGATTTTCACGAATGTCTATCAAGTTTGGAACAACACTCTTAGGACATATCTGCAAACATGTTTCAAGAAATTAATCTTCACAATCAGACCGAAAACCAATCAATGGATCTTCAATAATTTCTAATTTACTGCCTTACATCCTTCTCTGTGTGAGCATCTTTCACAAAATTTGAGTAATACTCAATAGCTCGAGACATTGAGTCGCTGTTTATAACTTCCAGAATTTTGCTAAATGTGCTTGGAAGTGATTTTGCAGTTTCCAAGAGTTCAAACCTCACATTTGATCCCTGAAAAGCAGACATGGATGCCCTTTAATCCTATAGAAAAGGTTGCTATTCTTTAGCTTGGTAGAAGTGCGCACACAATATTTTAATGGACTAGATTCAGAAGTTTAACCTGCAAACCAAGCTCTTGACAAGCCTCTATATATTTAGCTGCTGACAAAGCTGCATTTCTTTTGATATCAACTTCTCTACGCTCCAGCTCTGCTAGTTGCTGCTGAATCTTCTGAACTTGTTTCTTCTGATAGGGGCTTCACATGGCATTACGTATCAATGATATGATTATGCCTATCACATAAAAACATATTGCAATGTACTCTACACATTCTATCCTCTCAGCAAAACATATCAAGGAATAGACTTACATTTCATAATTGACATTTTGGATCATTATCTGAGCAGCTTCGCCTAGGAATATATGATCTTTCTCGAAAGAACGAACAATTGTCTCCCAAGAACCCTGCCAAAATTATAAATCCAATCCAAGAATTATCCTTTAGATCACAGAAGAGTGTGTGTGAGGGCGCACGCGCGAGCGTGCGAGAGAGAGAGAGAGAGAGAGAGAGAGAGAGAGAGAGAGAGAGAGAGAGAGGTCTTACGGCAGCACCTGATAGCCGGCCAAAAATGTTCCTGCTTTCTGGAGTTGACTTTAAGAGAATATCATATATCTGTTTGGCCTCTAAGTATCCAATCCCTGAAAAGTACAGGCTATCATCACATGATGACACAGCAACACTTCTTCTCAAGCATGCAACCAGAAAATTTACAGTAAATAAAAATGGGTTTCGTGATCCACCTCTCAGAACAACACAATCACAAAATTCCCAAAGAATACTCACTAAATGTTCCTGATTCAATTTGTATATACAAGCATACAAGTCTCGTTATCATTACAAATGTCCAAAGAATAAACGTCCACAAACTTAAGAGATGCTATTTAGAATCATGAAGCAGGTGTTTAGTGGTGCTTTTTTGAAGGCTCACTTCTGCTAGCAGACGCCATCATTACAAATGTCCAAAGAATAAACGTCCACAAACTTAAGAGATGCTATTTAGAATCACGAAGCAGGTGTTTAGTGGTGCTTTTTTGAAGGCTCACTTCTGCTAGCAGACGCCAATGGTGCTTCCAATAGAATATCCATGCACTCAAAAGAAGAAGTGAAAATAATACGAATTGTTAAAACTTACACGGGGACTTCTAGGAAATAGTCGCAGCCCTGTCCTTCCCAATCTTACATTACTTTTGAGATTTGAAGATTCTTCACTTACAATAAAAATAATTTAAGAAGATCGGTCTCACTTCTCAACTATCTATATTTATTTTGCTTTTGTAATCATGCATGAAACTTTCACCTTATCAAACTTGGGTATATGAAACATTTAAGTCACCATGGCACCTTGAGGTGATTCCCAAAATGGCTATTGAAGTCATAGCTCCAACTATTATATGGAAAACTGCAACACAATGAATCCCAAAGCCCTGCGACGATGCTAAACAATGCTAAGCAGATTGGAAATCTGACATAGTCAAAGAGAATCTCGAACTAAAAGTCTCTTTGCATCGTTAAAGAATGTTGCATGCATCTATCAAAAATTTGATTCCTAAAAAGGAATATTGTAAGGTCAAGTTAAATATGCAGAGCCACAAATATTTAATTCGATAGATAAACTCAATTTAAACTCACAAAAATCACAGGTAATATGCTCACACAAACGAAGATTTATCAACCACCTGCTTCCTAAACAGAAAGCAAAAACGCTCAATTTCAAACTTTTCAGCTATTCCCATGATAAAATAAGCACCTTGTTGGGACATGTAATTGACTCTGATGGTTTCTAGGGGCCAGGACATGGGGAGTCCATGAGTGCACTGTATTATAAAGCATCTCAAGGTCCATCTAAAAATAACTACGGACCTAGTTTCTCGTCTGTTCTTATTTTTCTTTCCTTCCACAAGAAAAGTTGGGGGGATTCTAAGATAGGAGAAACTTCCTACTCGTTGTATACTGTTCAATGAACTAGCTCAGCTTAAGCTCAATTAAGCTGCCTCCCAGCAATGGGCTTTTCAGTTGTTTTCAGTTACATAAATATTTCTGCGAAATTCTGCAATTCGCATAGCCACGTCCTGCAAAGCCTTCTCATGACTCGATTGTAACTAGATAATGCAAATAGTACCTCCCACAAGACCACCTAGAAAATCAACATCTTCCTATGAGTATATCCGAGTACATTGCATAAAAAACTTTGACAATACACCACCCAGCTTCTCTTTTGACCGCCAGGACAAGCCCTAAACTCTGAATCTTTCGCAACTGACGACACTACAAATAAAGGTCGCCCCTCTGCCGCATCGAAAGAGAACCCAGAATCAAAGAACAAATGCACAGTCTCATCCGGTCAGCACATCACGCCGAACAACACCATCGCGCTCTCAATTCTCACACGGAAACCACTAGAATTAACGGGTTCGTTCAGCCGAAAGGCGGAACAAGCCGTCCACGCAAAAGGGCGGAGAGGCATCGAAAGCAAACCTTCGGGGTCCAGGGTCTGGAAGTAAGGATCCACGTCCTTGGGAAGGCCGGGGAACTGCTTCGCGACGAGACCTCTTATCGCCGCCAGCCGCTTCCGCCAATCGGACGGTATCCTCTTCCGATCGACCAACCATTCTGCATCGTTTGAACGGCGAAATCATCAGTAACCTCAAGGACAGGCGAGCCCCCAAAGAACCGACCGAAACCCGACATGGGGACGCGGGTTTCCGAATCCCGAGTTCACAAAAATTCAAAACCGAAGCAAGGGAAATCGGGTTCCGACCCGAACACGATCGCCGCGAGCAGGAGGGAAGCGAGGCGGAGAGATGCGATTTACCTCCGAGGCGAGAGAACGTGATGTCGATCGGGAGGTTGCGGACGTCGTCGGAGGCCTGCATGTTCTCTCCTCCTCTGCGGTGGAATTTCAGAGAGAGAGAGAAGGAAGAAGAAGACGATGAAGATGAAGAAGAAGAAGAAGTAGAAGGAGTTGAAGTTCGTGTCGGATTTCACTTCACGGTCGTCCTCTTCGGGCGTTACAACGTTGTCTCATCTCATTAAGTTTTTTTTTTTATAAAAAGAGAAAATGTTTGTATCACTAAAAATTCCAAAAAATTACTTATAACATATATATATATATATATATCTTGAATTAATTTTTATTTACAAATTTTAAATTTTGATACCGCATGACGCATTTATTCCAATTTTGAGAAAAAAACAAGGGACATTCTCTTACTCGTAAGTCAATTTTGGTATCCATTACATTGTCCACAAAAGTCTTGCCCTTAGAAATCGTACATAGCAATTAACGCGGTCGATTTTTTTTTTTATCACATCGGTGTTTGTCGGATCGATGATTGTGCAACAACTTTGCGAGAAGCCTCGTGAGGAATTAGTTCATTGGAGGTACTTGATCTTACCTTTAAAATGCAATTGAATTTCGAACTCAATTGATGCGATCGGACAACGGTAATTGCACTATTTTAAAAAACGTTGAGAATTGAATTGTACTTTTTAATCAATAAAAAAATTATGATATGATTATAATGATTAAAAGGCTTATTACCCGATCACTCTTATAATTGATGGCATGGTTTGCACGATTAAGTTTAAGTACACATCCCGCGTACCTCGATTTATGATTCGATCACGGTGAATTCCTCAGAAATGTCTCAAATGATTATGTTCGTTTCATATGAATTACGATTAAGACGGGACATATATTTCGGGCCAATTCTGGCAAAATATCTTAGTTGCACTTGGTGCATATAAGCCTACGTCGTATGAATCGCCTGACGAGGTGAAATGCAGCCATGTTCAATTTGAGCTCACCCGGTACTTGCTTCGACTCCAGAAGTGATTAGAAGCAGCAGCTCGGGAGGGCAAATGGGTCCACATCAGCACCGAGATCACAATCGTTTCGGGAGGAGCATATCCAGCACTGGCGCCACGTGGCAGCAGCCCATTGCCCCTCTCAAATTCTATCTCTCTCCCTCACTCGCGAGCTCGTGGCTTCCAAGACCCAACAAAGCTCTTTGCATCCCAACAGAAGAGAGCAGAGAGAGAGAGAGAGAGGGAGCAGAGAGATCCTCCGGAGCAGGGCAGAGATGGCAGGGACATGCTCAATCCTCTCTTTCAAAAGGTGAAGTTTTCTTTTTCCCCTCCTGTGTGTTCTCTTCCCGTCTGGACCAACCCAAGTGCTTGCTCAGTTTGAATTTCTACTCGCCTTTTCTTGTTTTCTCAACTTGAAAGTGTAGAGTGAATTGCTGGGGGGCTCCTGAGGGTATTAGGAAGTTCCTTGCTTTCCTCGCCCATGGAGGGTGTGCCTCCTTGAAAACTGGGTTCCAAAGGGAAACTGATTTCTCTGTGCGCAAGTCTGGTCTCACTGTATGTCTCAAGGCCGATCTCATTGCCAGTTGCAACACTGAGCTTGATAAATGTAAATACACTTCGTTCCGCCTCACTCTCTCAGAGAGGCGAATCCGGGCTGTGTGCAGATAGTTTCCTGGTAACAGAAGTTTGGGAAAGGAGAAGATGAAGAAGATGGTGAAAGAAATCACAGTCCTCAAGTTTCATTCTTTCTTGCTTCTGAAACCGGAAAGTGTCACATAAGGTGACTTGGGGCCTAGGCTACCAATATGTTGGGGTTTAGTTAAAAGCGGTCCATCGAATTGTTATACTGAGTAATGTGCCAATGCCACATCGCTTGATGTTTGAACTTTGTAAATCATTCGCAGAACATGTGGCATCATTCTTTGTTAGAAAACTACCCTGAGGGTGCTTTTGAATAAGTGCATTAGGAAAGTTAGTTTGCAGTTTTTGATGTACTGACATTCGTCGTGATGCGTGGGCTCCGTATCTATGCTTTAGAAATCGAGTACTTTACTCAGTAGTATGCTTAATAACTGCCTTAGGACAATTGTCTACATGACCGTATATCTTGTGAATTGCAATACTTTAGGCTTTGCACAAACTGTCTTTTCCCTAAAATCTTTAGTCAAAAGTAAGAAGTGTATGAGCTGTCTACTGCTAGAGCCTGCTGCTGTATTGAGACTTTGAATGGAAGTATCATTATGGAACCGATATCGTTTTCCTCACGTTATGCATATATTGGTACAGTTTGATAATTTATAGAACTGATATTGTACCGTCAAGTATGTGATTGAATTTCATAGTAATTGAAACTCGACTTTAGATGAACATGGAGTAAAGGATCAGAATGTCTTTTCAGCAACTTTCGGACGTCTTGGTTGGTCTTCGACACTCACCGGGGAGGGAATATGTCAGGAAAACCGTTCAAGAGGAAACATTTGGCGGTCAGAGCAGAAGTGAACTTTGTGAACGCGGAAGAGGCGAAGAATCTTATAGCCGTAGAGGGATACGCAGTTCTGGACGTGAGGGACAGAACTCAATTTGAGCGAGCGCATATAAAATCCTGTTATCACGTTCCTCTGTTTATAGAAAACCAAGACAACGACTTTGGTACTCTTTCTTACTTTACAAATGGATGGCTTATACTTGTCTGAACTCCTTGAAGTTTAGTTGCATATGCTGTATTTTGTCTCTAATTTGATTGCATTAAGCTTGTTTTTTCCTCACTCTTTCTTCAACTTCTTGTGTACAGGCACAATTATAAAGAGGCAACTGCACAACAATTTCGCAGGATTGTTATTTGGTTTGCCATTCACCAAACTGAATCCTGAATTTGTGCAATCTGTCAAAAGCCAGTTTTCACCCCAAAGTAAGATATTGCTGGTTTGTCAGGAAGGTTTGAGGTTAGTCCTAGTATCTCCTTTTTGCTCAGGCTACAATTGAAAGCAATACTGGAGCATTCTTCTGATGTCAATTTGGGAGAATTTAGCATGGAGTCTCTACTTTGTGTGCAGTATCTGTGCATGTCATATGATCATGCCAATCCACTCCTGACTGAGATATTCGAGTTGAACTCAGTGCAATGGCAAACTCATCCAGCTTCGGACATCATATCTGGCAACTAACGTACACCATAGCACCAATAATAATCTGATTCGTGACCTATTCTGCGTTCGACGATACTCTTTTCAAAATACTTTTAAGAAATATTTCATGAATCTGTAACATGCTTAATCCAAATAGAACACAGAGAACTGCAAAAGGAACAGATACTCCTGTCTTTCACACTCTTCTAGTCAGATTATGTATTTCTCTGTTTCTCCTCTTGTCAGGTCTGCTGTGGCTGCTAATAAACTCGAACAAGCTGGTTACGGAAACATTGCATGCATAACATCAGGCCTTCAATCAGCAAAGCCAGGTTAGTTGGATCCCTTCCCCGTTTTCCTAATTACTCTTCTTAGCAAAACCACGAACATGAAGGGCGAGAATTGTTGATTTTGCAGGGACGTTCGATTCGGTAGGATCCACAGAGCTGCAAAATGCAGGAAAAGCCGGTCTGGTCACAATTCAAGGCAAGATCTCTGCAGTTCTTGGAACTGTGCTAATCTGTAAGTTTTCATAGACGTTTTGCGCCAAGCCCTCGAATATATGCTTGACGCGCTTGCTGATTATTTTCTTGCTGGTTTGGCTTCCTAGGCGCATTTCTTTTCATAACCTTCTTCCCAGACCAGGCAGAGAAGCTGTTCCAATTGGCCCCTGCGAGCTAGGCCAGAGAACCCGAAATTTTGCTACTTCTCTGTAGATTGCGATTTGCATATTACCAACGAGAACCCTGAAGTAGCGATTCTTGCCAATATTTGTAAAATAATCTGATTAATACGATGTCTCACTTAAATATACGCTTTCTCTTCACAGATAATTTTAAGAGTTTGAATTGTTTTCCGTATCGTATCATTTCTGATCCTTGATCATACGCTGAGATCGGTCTGTTTGGCATAGCACGGACAAATTGGATGACCAAATTCTCGGGGATTTTAGTTGCCTCTGCACGCACCTCCTTACCAATACCGTCTATACCTACCGAGGACCTCATAATTTCCTTATTTTGATGCCTCTCGACCAACGGATGGCCAAGAGAAGCCTCAAAGATGATCTAATTAAAGATCGGAGCAAGCCGACTTTCCCTGCCATTAAGAGAACTCTGACCAGAATTTGCACTGTGGCTATCACTGGCCTTACATCTACAGGGACAACTCCATTCCAAAAAACCGAAACAGAGCATAAGTCCGAGAGAGAAAGAGGAAGTCAAAGGCTATTTCTTCTCTTTTCCTATGCACAAACCTTTGCTAGCACACAAAACACCACTTGGATATCAGCTCATCAAATCATTGTCTAGGGATCCAAGGTAAAAAAATGAAGACGAAAAGAAAAGAGGGGGAAGTTGATGGGCACATGACGAAATTCCTACGTGTTCACTGAAATGACAAACAAAATGAATTCGCTGATCTACTGTAGAACAAGACCGCAAAGGGATTAAATACTTTCACAAGGCACAAACCTCATTTGACCGAATATTTAACAAGGATTATTTTTGGAAGGTAAAAAATTATACAATGAAATGAGCGAGTACAATCCTATTTGCCCTATATGCCGACTGGGACAATGCATTAGAAGGTGCGCTATTCTGGAGTGAGATGAACTAATCCTAGCTGCCGGCGGTACTGGCAGAAGCAAAGAAATTTGGTGAAAGCACAAAGTGTAATCCGAAAGCACCGCTATTTACTTGCATTAGAGATCCACTTTCAACCCAATCAATCACCTTGCAGGCAGTAAAGCTGACGGATGTTTCCTGAAGCTGCAATGAAACACGGGGTCAGTTAAACTATTGTTAAGCGAATCGTTAAGTTGTAAACATAGATGCAACTCACTATTGAGTAAGTATTTGGTTAGAAAGTTTTCTGTCATCAACTTTGAAACAGTTTGAGGACCAAATAGTGATAAGACAAGCTTGGTAACTTGCCTTGTTTACAATTTTCAGCATACTAAAACCAGTCTCATTGAAAACTAGAGAAACAACATATTATCATTGTTTGCAAATTGGACTAAGAGGACTAAGATGATAAGAAAGTTTCCATGACTGACTTCAAAACAAAATTACGACAAAATCATGAAAAGAAATTGTATAACTCGTTTCCGAGAAACTGAAAAATGTTGCAAACGAAAAATCTCATTTCGGTAAAAGCTAAAAGTGAAAATGTTCTTTGGAACTAAATGCACCTAATAAATGACAAAGACCATACAAGTAAGTCTAGTTATCCCTTAGCTTCTCAAAAAAGACAAGAAGTTTTTCTTTATGGATCCAGTATCTTCAGCTCTAGAAGCAGTCAGTTCAACTTGTGCATCTCATATTCAATAGCATATAACACCAAGTACTCAATTTTCATCAGAGGCATTACCATACAACCAGTCTTTAAAGTATACATGAAGGGCACTGGATAATTCGCGTTTCCGATTTTCTTCAAGAGGCACTTCCCTCAGCATTTGCTTGATCTCTCCTAAACTCTTGTGCTGAAAATAAGAGTATATAGAGAGTTAGATGTCTTAAAAATCAATGCAAAAATGCTAATAAGGATGAAAGCATATCTTCCATTGACCAGAAATGAAGACTCCTAAGGCTACAAAAAAAACTCTAGATGTCCAGGTCAATTGTAATGGTCTGAGTGCACATACATTTCTCTGCTGAGAAGTCATGTAAGTATCCGGCAATGGAAATGGATTGTCCTTTGTTGATCCAACAGATTCACTATCGAACCAATTTGGAATCTGTCCATCAAAGACACAATATGCGACAGTAAGAAATTAATAAAATTTTGAATGGCAATAGAGGAAGTCTGAAATTCCCAAAAAAAAAAAAACACGAGTAAAAATGAAGCATGAGCTAGAAAATGAAAGGCAAGGAAACAAATGCAAGATTATTTCAAGAAGTGATATATTGAAATCAATATATCCTCTTATTTAATATTGGAACGTTCATATCATGCCATACCAAAAAGTTTGTAAACTGGTCGGGATCTAATCGTGCGGCTGATTCGGCTTGAGCATCAGACACACCAGCTGGATGAGATAACGAATCATGTGGATCAACCATTCCCAGTGCAAGGGGCTCATCCCATTTGTTAATAGTTGCTTCAATGCCAACTTCAGTCATATGTTCCTCCAGCTGAGAATAAAATGTATTGTATGGCGCAACCTAATGAAAATAGAGACTCAATGTTATCCTCGATTGAAGTTGAACACTAATTTAAGAGGGAAAAAAAAGCCCTTAAAGACCATGTTGGAAAATGCCGGAAACATAATATTAGACTCATGTTTTCTCATGAAGCTAGAAAACCATCAATGTAATTCGTCAAATGAGCATAACAGGCTTATTATGTATCCCCTCAAACTCATGGATAAAAGATTCTCGACAAGAAAGAAATTCCCTCCTCTCCCTTCTGCCACGAGATGAAAGTCCAAGAAATTCCTCAAAACTGCCGTGCATGGTAGGAAGCATAAGAGTACAGAAGATGATCAATGTACTGACCTGCAGCTTGTGATTATCACCAACAATAAGAGGTCGCTGGTTCACTCCCAAAAAGAACACGCACTCACGACAGCTGGCAATGCAAACTCTTTTTGCTGCTACAATAACATGAACCCTCTCACAGTGTTCTATTCTTACAGCCTGTCAAAAGATATGAAATCAACAAGTAAGAAACCATTCTCGCTAAACGTGAAAAATAAATTTGCCAACTATCATACTTGAGTTTGCCTCAAGCTGACATAAGAGATGTTGAAATTGGTTTTTTTTTAATCAGAGAGGATGAAATTGTTGATAAGCACACGCGACCATCTGAAGCAGCTTTTTAGAAAGCACCCATCCGATGTTCTGCATGATGGGTGTATCAAATATTTATTATAAGAAAGACACAAATACCCTTAAAGCAGTATATCAATCTTTTAAAACTGACTTCGACTTCCGGACAAAAGAAATAGTAAATCACCAAAGTTTATGATGTCTGTCCTACAAGGAAAACATAGTTATTCAACAACTAATGCTAGGAAACAAAACTGGCAGCAGAAAACTTTTCTCATAAGACAGCAATCCACAGACTTTTTCGCAATGGAACTAACCAACATTCTAGTGACTTGTGAGAGAAAAAAATATGACGGACTTGCCCAATTCAGAAACTTCTTTGATTTCTCATTATGGCAGATTCATAAACAAGGAAAAACCTTTCTGAAAACGTATTAACATAGTTATTCAACAACTAATGCTAGGAAACAAAACTGGCAGCAGAAGACTTTTCTCATTAGACAGCAATCCACAGACATTTTTGTAACGGAACTAACCAACATTCTAGTGGTTTGTGAGGGATAAAAAAATGACGGAGTTGCCCGATTCAGAAACTTCTTTAATTTCTCATTATGGCAGATTCTTAAACAAGGAAAAACCGTTCTGAAAACGTATTGATAGAGCCAATTATAAAAAATCTTGCTTGTAAATTAATGGAGACATCTACAAACTTCAAACACTACAATTCACTATTTGTAATATTATCAAATGATTCTGAATGGTTGGAACAATTCACTGCAAGTCTCATAATCATTTTGGACTAACCGACAACTGCTTCCATAAATGAGGTAAGTATTTTCACCCAAAGGAGCTACATGCCATAACTTACAACAATGGCATCAATGGAAAAGAAAACACTCCCCCCCCCCCCCAAAAAAAAAAAAACAAATGTACCACTCCCATTGAAAATAAATAGTGTTAGAGTTAACACGAATTATTAAGAAAAAGTTCTTGTTAACGGGTGCCCTCTGACAATGTAGTTAGAATCGTACTGTTCATGGTTGGAATCATACAAAGCGATCTGCATGAAGCAAAAGTGAACTAGTGTCTGATTCAGTTACTACTAATGTATTATTCAATTTGATTCATGGACGATTAAATGAGAATATTTCAATCAAATGTAAAAAGTGTGATTCATAAAAAATCTATAAAATCCTAAAGCCTTGCAATCTAATTTGTATTTGAACCTAAGTAGGATTTGATTGTCAAATAGACTAAAACCAGACCAAGGCACAACGCTAATTTTGGGTACATTAACTTAGTTAAACATTACGTAATATTACTATATCCATGTTAATTAGCAAAGGACATCTTCTCCGTTTTTAATCTTCATCTTCCTCTCTCTGTTACTCTTTAACTAAATGAAGGACGAGGTGATATTAACTCCGTGACTTACCATATCCAGATTATAACATTATTGACATGTAACCTCCCACTGAAAGATGATAAGAATGAGCGCTTCTATTTATAAGGGAAAAATAGAACGAGGAGGGGGAGGGGTTGGGAGCGTATTATTACGGAAAGGGGTGACGATTATTAACTTTATTTGTGAGGTCAAATGCATTGATTGTGATGGACATGGGACAACGCACAAGATTCTCAACAAATAGATGGTGCAATCACCAAAAGTATAGTGACTTAATATTGTAACTAGATACTAGAATTTCTTTTTACGAGATTTCTGATATTAATACCTACTACAGTGACTTATGCCACTAATCTAAGTAATTCTAGTACTTGTTACTGAATTGAAAGATTCACGATTCTATTCAATTGTCATTAAAAATTAAGCTCTTAAATTCACAATTTGAACCTTTGCTTCAATAAGGGCACTTATTCAGCATACTTTATAAGGGATGTTTCATTCCCAAAATGTTTGATTACACATAAAACGAGGAAAGTAGTGCATAGGAAACTATACATTTCTTTATTTTGTTGCTTAATAAGTGCTTCAGGGGCTCACTAAAAACCTTAAGAAAATATAAATGCCTCCTCATCACATTTTAGTCCTTTTGTACCATTTCTCCCATATTCCAAGATCACATGATGAAGTTCATGCAAGCAACAACTAATGATGAAGCACATACTACGATCTTCAATGTTACCTTTCCAACAGCTCCAACGACAATGGTAGCATCCGAGCATCCATAGATGGTTGCATATTTTAGTGGTGATAAGATGTAAATGACGGAATCGTGGCAATTTAGAACCTGAATCATTATCAGAAGAAGATCATATCAAAAGCATGCATAGGAAGGAGAAATGGGTATTGTGTTGACCATCTTAGACATATTGTCAAGCATTTTTTTAGTTCATAAGCAGGAACTCTGGGTGATTCTAATTACAAAGGTTGAAGCAGGTACAAATCCTTGATAATTCTATCAAGGCAACACCAGAAAACGATTGTCTCCTACAAGATAGCACAGTATATTGGACGAAGATCGTCTCCTGGAAATAGCTCAACACAGTTCTGAGACACTTTTGTAAACACCGAAATAACATCTGATCCATGAGAGAGAAATCTAACTATCTTTAAATCAATTCAAGCTAAATTCCTCAACCTTCCAAAAACAGGTCATATTCTTCTTCTACCACCATTGATGTTTCTCAAGCAAATAAATATAGATGAAAAAGCCGGATTTTTCTTTCCTTTTGTTTTGGGACAGGAACATAGGCTATCTGTTAAAGTTCAGATCAAAAAAATACCTATCAACCTCCAAAAGGAAAACAACAATCAAAGGTAAAGTACGTATAGGACCAGAGAATCCAAGAAATCAACAAGGAAGCACAAACAGCAAAGGGAAGGTAATGGGTACTTTGGGAGAGCATTTTGCATGGACTTTGAGCCCATAAGGAACCTTGACAGAAAGTAAGGGTGTTTGTTAAGACAAATTCAAAGTCCTTTGCTCCAAAGTTCTGTCTGATAAAAATAATTTAGCATCCTTGAAATGCTAGTGGTGGGAGTTAATGAATACTTGGATTTCCTATCTGACCTTGTATTGCCCCTAAAAACCAAACCCTGTTTCAGGAAAATCAAACCGCACCAAGTGTTGGTTTCGGCAAGCAACATTTTCGGTTCCCTTGGGATTCAACAAAGACATTGTCATCACCTTAAGCTGTAGCTGGTCAATAACAACTAGCAATGCCACCAACCCAAGTTGTGCACAGGGATACTTGATCAATAGAGAAATACTACATAGACTTAGTTTATACAGACCAACATCATCATAGCCATTAATAGTGTGAACCCCACAGTAAAATCCACATGATCAACGGTTATGAAGGTGTTGGTCTACATAGGCTAAGTCTATATAATAACTTATATGGTGTTAATTGATAATACCAATAATTGACCAACACTGCTTCAAATTCCTATTCCTTTTACTTTTTAATTATCAATCAATTAAAACATATATTTTGATATGAAATATATATTACTCGTTCAAAATTTAGCTTAATTCCCTTTATTTACAGCTAAAATAACATTCTATAATATAACTTAAAAATTAATAATCAAATTGATAATTGAGATGACAATGGAAATTTTCAAGAATGGTTTTACCAAACAACTGTGTTGTCAAAGACTCAAAGTAACTTTAGGATGGACTTTGTAAGTATCGTTACCAAAAATTCAGACGCTTTCAGTAGATAAACTTTGAGTTAAACCCTTTCTGTAAGTGGACTTTGCAAATGACAAAGCATTTCTAAACTCACTCATGATTAGTAGGAGTTTAAAATCCCAAGGAGTAACAATAAATCCAGGCAAGACAAAGCTCAAGGTCCAGAAACCAAGACATAAGCTTGATCCCAAGAGGTAGTTTAACAGAACACAAACATAAGATATTAAACATTAGTAACATTTGTAATTTGTTAGAACAGGTTTGTCTATATTTTAATGTGCTTGAAAATGTATAAAGGTCAATTTACATGTTTCCATATCTTACGAGATATGAGAATATTGTATTTTACTCGTTTTGATGTCTCAGAAACATAAACTTGTTTTATATAACTAGTTTTAACAAGTGCAACAAGGCCACTGGTTGACAAGACAAGACCCATAAAGTATTTATATTTCAAAAATACATCAGATAATTCGGACAGAACAAATCGAAATATTATATCTGCAGGTCAAAATGTCTTAGATTAGATCTTGTTACCAGTCCACAAGCTTGAAAATGTGCTCAGTTCTATCATCCTGGAAGAAACAAGAAAGTAAACAAGATTTTTCAATGGAAAAATAAGGTGACATATAAGCTAACCTTTACAGAAGAGCCTTTAAGATCAGATGCTTGTTTCACAAAAGATGATTTAGATATTCCCTCAATAAAGCATACTCCCCTAGCACCAGGTGAGGACTTGATTGAAGCAGGACATGCCTCGGTCATAGCGACATCTGGATCAGTACTATTAGCTGGACCATTCTCTTTCGCAGAAACTCTTTCCAAAATAATTTCCAAAGAGGATGAAATGTTCTGCGAAATCCAATCATGAACTTGTGTGGCTGGAACGGGAACAGCAGGCATGTCTGGATCTGAATTTGCAAAAAATGGAGCAGCTTGGCTTATGGGTATTACTTCAGATCCTTTATCACCAAACTGAATCAGCAATCCAAGGTGCTCAAATCTTTCCATGGTAAAAACCTAATACAACAATTTCACTTAATGTAAGAAATATCATTACCCAATCTTAAAGAAATGTAAAGTCCAAAATTTAAGATAGTATACAGCTGCAATCAAGGCAGGTAAGCCAAAAATAAAAACATCTGGCCCTAGCATCAATCAAGGACAAGGAGCAGCCAGAAATGACCATAAAACCGCCAGTTCTGGTCCTGTCCACTTCAATGAAGACTCTAAAATGGACAATGGCCGCAATCTAGACATATCACTGACTGTTTCAAGTTTAGCTTCATCGTTAAGCTTTTGAAGGGGCAGAACAAATTAAACATTCGTCCCAATATAGGGCGTAGCTGTTAAATAATTACATAGATAAACAAACAAAAGGCCTATAACTAGTCAAGTTGACTGAATTGCACCCACTGAAGTAACATATACAGGAACTCCATTTCCCATTAACAGCAAAATGGCAATTGGATCATTTGAGTAACTTTCTGAAAACTTAATTGTGATTATCGAAGTATTGTCCAATGTGCACAGGTACTTGTTGATAGGGTGGAAAGGTAGACAAACAAATATGAAACAAGAAAGTTACCGAATCAAGAGATGCTCAAGCATACAGAATAGATTTTGCGGTAATGCTGACTGAATTAGTCAAGAAACACGTGGCCACTTTCACCATGAATATAAATAATGTTGAAAATCCACAAGTTACATTATAAGGAGTCATTTTACAGACCAACGATTCTTCTCCTTCCCCCTCCACAGGCTCTGCCAGAAGAGAGATTATGTTTGCCAAATGCTTTTGCAGATAAGATAGTTGATGAGCCTCCTCATCGGCCTGAGATGGCGTAAATCGCCTGCTATTGCTACGTGCAAGCTGCAAGAGCAGACAAAAGATCATCATTAACAGTTAACCAACCACTTAAACAAGAAAATCGGCGTGCTTGAGCCGTCAAAACTGCAAACGAGTGGGCATAAAGAAACTTATGTATGAAGCCCAGAAGCAATATAAATGCAGTAGAGTGAAACTGAAGTGAACAAACTTATTAAAGCAGGACCGAACCAATAAAAGTTGGTGTTAAGATGTCGAGATAAATGTCATCAAAATCCTTGGAAAAAATAGATACTAAGTAGAACAACGTGCATTGAAGAAACTTAAATTTTTTTAAGATCATAATTTCGTTATACACTCAAGTTCGTTATTCCGGAGTCAGCACAGTAGCAGTCAGAATATACATGCCTATGCATAACACAAACTTAGGGAATGTCTGTGCATCTAGAAATCAATATGAAGTAAGCATCAGAGTTAGCTGGATGCTCAAGCAGGATTCACATAGGCTCATCAAGATCATCACGCTTCAGCAGTTGAATCTGATAAAAAAAAGTTGGCACATTGATGACATTCTCGCGCCCTAAATAAAATTGCAAAAGCATCCGTTTTGGCACCACAATTCAAACTACTGAATATACCCTCATCATGAAAACTTTCAAATTCTCTGCATTAGTTCAACAATACATACAAGCACAAAATAAAACGAACACCTGACCAAATTTGCAATCCGCTATTATGGATACGACGAATTCCAAAGGTGTAGAGCGTCACCTGCAACGGAGACAGGGCCGATAAATATCCGTCGAACGCGGAAGTGGAGGGCCAAACGTCGGCAACCGCGGCGGAATCCCTATGCGACCTGGGGAGCAGCTTCTTGTACGATTGGATGTACAAGAAAAGGACCAGATCATTCACGTCGGCGCCGACGGAGTCGACCTCGTCGGGCTTGGCCCGGACGAGGGGGTCGGCGTCGGAGTGGAGGACGGAGGCGAGGGTGTCGAGGACGAGCCTGGCGTGATCGGGCGAGATCTGGAGCGACTCGGCGAGCGGGGCGGGGGCGACGCGGTGGGCCGGGGCCCGCCCGAGGAGCTTCTGCTTGAGGGGGAGGAGGGCCTGGATCGGGTCGGTGAAGACGAGCTTGGGGATCGGGAGGAGGCCGTGCTCGAAGGGCTCCCGCCGGGGGTGGAGGAGCAGGGGCGAGCTAGGGTTCGGTGCGGCGGGCGGCGGCGGCGGATCGCGGGCCGGCGCCGACGGCGTCGACGGCGGCGGGTCGGGCGAGGCGTCGGCCATGGGCGGCGGGGGATCGGGAGGTCCGGCGAGCTCGAGGGGCGGGAGATGGAGATCGAGAGCTCTGCAGATCCTTCGGAAAAATGATGAGAGAGAGAGAGAGAGAGAGGGAGGAGAGAGAAGGGGCGAGCGAGTAGAGAGGGGGAGAGTGAGGGCTGCGATCGTGTGCGCTCGGGTGTACTGTGTGGGCGACGCGGCAGCTTCCTATTGGGTGCTGCGTTGGTGCACCGGATAGTACGGTGGTCTCGGTGGCTGCGGAACGCGATCGGCGTTGTTTCGCTCCAGAAAAAAAGGGGGAAGAAAAACCGAATTATGTCGATAATAGAAATTGAAATCCCCAAAGTTGCACGGGATATTGTAATATAAATAAAATTATAGGATTTTGCACAATGAGAATAAATTGTTAAAAACACATTGATTTTTTTTCAAGTTAAAGTCGGTACAAGTTGTTTCTATTCATTTTTTATTTCTTTTTAATATCATTGTAAATACTTAGGCTACGTGAATAAATCTAACTTACTTACTTCACTTGAGATTTGAAACGATTGGATATACTTTCCTTTTTAAAATACACTAACGTTTTACAGACACTTGGAACTTTCAATAGTTAAATACCAACGATCTGTCGTATATTTGCGCGAATCTAATTATCCATAGATAGTCATAAATGTCTTATTAAGAAAGATTAAAAAACACCTGAGAAAAGGTAGGCACTTGAATTCTATAGTAGGTAATTTCACTGATTTATAAGTGTCATTGATGGCTTTGCAATTTAAAATTCTAAAATGGAATACACTAATATAATCTTAGTTAGATTGACCACAATACTATTGCAAGAGAGTTAATTTCTTTTCAATTGAGCGGATAAATGATTTATCATACACTTTTTTTGTTTCCAACTCGCTAGTTGACAACCGATTTTTTCATTTGAAAAATACAACTAGATTATTACATATGTGTTTTTTGTATTTGGATAAATTAAATCAATAACAACATATTTGTTTCACAAGACTCGATAGTCTAGAGTTCCAAGTAATAATCTTAAATTTATTTGAAAAATCAATTCGTCACTTCTAACTTTTTGGTACTTTGGGTGTGACAACATTCACACACTAATTATAACTTTAACAGATTCTTCTTGATTGATTAAATCCATAATTAAGCTTTTGAATTTAGTTCTGACTAGATTATAACACGCACTTTGAGTGGAATTGCTATAAAAGTAGGACAATTACGATAATACATGAAAATATTATATTTCCGCATCATATGAGAAATTAAGTAGTTAAACTTGGATGCTAATTTAGATGTACTTGTTGAATGTAAATTTCTCATACAACTATTTCGACAACTAATTAATATGATTGAAAAACATTCATAGGACATCTGGCATAAGGCCCATATGGACAAACAATTAAGTAAAAAAAAAAACAACTTAACAAAATAAGTTTATATAATTAGTAAGACAGAAAATTATCAAATTTCGAAACACTTTTGACGTCTAAATTTTCACTTAATATTTGAAATTTGTGATCGAAACTCTCGAGGTTCAATTCCCGGCAAAAAATTCATCATTTTAGGTATATTTATTCGTTGTATTTAGTTATATTTTTCATTATTTAGGCTGACCTAATTCAAACCAAGCCCATTAGGCCTGGTCCAGCAAATCAGGCGAGATTTCTCCTTCTGTTCCACCGAGATTCGCTTCATTTTTCCAGCTGCAAAATCAAAAGCAATCCCTCTCTTGAGTTGAGCAAAATTTGCACTGAAAAATCAATTGGCTAGAGAAGATTTGGGGTTGAGTTCATGGGCTATTCTCTCTTTGGGAGTTCGGATTCAATTTTGATAGGTAAACCCTAAATTTTTTTTTTCCCAGGAACTCGGATCGAGGCGAGACAATTCTTTTGTTTTTTCATCGCAAAACTAGACTACCCCGATTGATGAATTACGTGTTTGAGTTCGGCCTTCACATTTGAATCGGATGAAATGTCAAAAAATAGGTGCATTGTAGTCTTTAGGACTAGTACACATCAAATGCCGTGAAGGAATTGTGGGGCTTGACTATTCTGTAGGGCTCCATAGTGCTTATTATCTCCGACTAGTCAGCGCATCATGAGCACCTTTACCAATCATCGCCTATCGGTGAAGGTGGCAAAAAGGGTACATTCATAGCCTATTTTCAGACTCACATTTGATGGGAATGTTTGCGGGTTACCTAAGATATGAAAAACAGCAGGTTCAGACCGAGATCAAGGACCCAATTTAGGGAGAGAGAGATCCAATGCCGGGCAACAAGCCTGTCGTGCGAGGCGGGGTGATCTCTACACCGGAAGTTGCTAGCTGCCTCGGTTCTCACCGGACCCCACACCATTTAATGACTGAGATGAAATTAGCTAGTCTCGCCTGTACCGAGCGCACGCGAGACTTGTTGCGGAGTCGGAGCACCCTCGATTTAAGGGTCTGAAAAAAGCAAAGGAGATGCTTAATATAGCCAAAAATGAAAGGTCAACAATTTCCCAGAAAAAGAGCAAAAAAAAATTCAAGAAAGATGGCTCACGAAATTCCACGCCTAACCCCCCTTTTGACCTTTTTCTCCTTTTCCCAATTTGGGGACGAATTTTGGTGCTGTGCCTAAATGGCTTTGAATGTGCCCGTTTTAATGGTTCACCATCCCTTCAAGAGGAAAGTAAGGTGGGGTTGACAACCGTGTTCATGTATCTTCTTTCTCATCGCATTAATTTCTTTCAGTCGTTTAGCGTAACAAATTTTGGCCTTCAATACAGCAAGAAAGGAGCACATGGACACCAAAAATTTTCAGAATCTAGCTAGAAATAGCTTTTGTTATGTTTTTTTTATACTATTTACCTAATTGAATGGACAGACTTTAGATGGATATGTTCAAACAGGTTTTATTTGTTTGATTATTCGAACCAGTAGTTGTTGGAAAAAGTTGGTGACAAATGTTACCCGACCATTTTCTTCGGATCACGCGGCTTTATGTTAGAACCATCTATCTGTACTATTCAGACGTAATCGGTTTCAAGGTGGATTAGTCTCTAGCCTTAAACCGGGAACTTGACCTAGTGACTCTCGACTTTGGTCTGGCTCTACCTAGGAACTGGCCCATTTTCTGTTCTGTCTTGTGTTTTTAATAAGTTGTTTAATAGACGATTCATTAGCTAATTCATCCTACCCTTGAGCGTGGCCAAATTTTTATAAAAAAAAATATAAAATTCGTATTATTTTAACTATGAAAGCATTTATTGGTGAACTTGTTCTATTGTTGTTATGTTGAAGTTCATGGTTCATTTCTCTATGGGTGCAAAAGTTTTATTTCGAAGCGACTTCAAAACTAATTTAGAATCAGTTCAACCTAGAAACAGAATTGGTCGAATTAGTTCCCAGATAATTACAATGGTTTGAGCCTTGAAACCTGAAATAATAGATTTTAGTTAACTAAGGATGACATTAGGATTAAAAATGCTTGGTAGAGAATGAGAGAGATGTGTACAAATTAAAAGGTTACAAGTGGCATAACTTAAGTAGCTAAACGAAGATAATGATTGGAGAGAGCATAAGATCACCCAAGTAAATGCATGAATGAGAATGATTATTTGATTTCTAATAATTCAAGCTTATCAAGAGATGTCATGAATGATGTCATTTTAGGGGTAGATTCAATGGCACAAATAAGAGCATTTGGGTTAAAATACTTGGTGGAAAATAAAGAGAGGTCTTCAAGTAGAAGAGCTACAGGTGGCATAATCATGTGGTCCCAAAGTATATATTTTGTTAAGGGCCTGTTTGACAAGTTGCCAAACAGTGGAAATTTCTGTTTTTTTGTTCCTAGAATCAATTTAGGAACAGAAATCCGTTTGTTTAATTTTTTGTTCCTGGGCACAAATTTGCAAAAAATTATTCCCAGAATCAGTTTTGGAACATAATCAATAAGCAAAAAAAGGTAACTTCTTGATTCTGGGAACAATTTTTTCATTTATGATTCTTTTTGGTTTTCTTCTTCCTTCTTGATTTGTTCTTCTTCTTCTTCCTAGCCTACCGCCGGCCATCGACGACCAGCCACAGGCCTAGGCTGACGAGGGCATCGCAACCCTCGTTGCCTGGGTAAGGGTGGCTCGCGGCCGTGACGGCGAGGCCTCGCCCAGCCATGGCGAGATCGACCTCGCCGTCACAACCCAAGCGAGGGAGATGGGTAGCGACGGCGAGGTCGGCCTCGCCAGATCTAGGCGAGGTTAAGCCTCGCCTAACCAAGGCTAGGTCGACCTTGCCGTCGTGACCGGCAAGGGCGGCAGCGAGGGCCGCGACGCCCTCGCCAGCCCTGCCCAAGGAAGGGAAAGAAAAAAAAATAAAAATGGAAAAAAAGATAAAGAAATATTAAAAAATTCAAAATATTATTAATAAAAAAAATTGTATAGTTACTAAATGCATTTATGTTCTTTTTCTATTGTAAGAATAGAAATTTTTGGTAGTTACCAAACGTTTTCAAATGCTTAGAAATTGTTCCCAGGCACAAAATAAAAAAGAATCATTTTTTAGCAGAATCAGTTCCCGAGTACAGAATCGTGCCATGTGCACCCTAAGTGACCAAAACATTTAGTAAATTAGTAAATAAATAAGGAAACCACTATTTGTTATAAACATTAATAAATCAAAAAAATATTTTGAACCCACCAAAACATTCCACGAAAATTACCAGACATTAGGAGATTTGCAACTCAATAAATTTTAAAATTTGCAAAACTGTCCAATACGTATTTAAGAGCGCATCGGTCTCCGTTAATAGATATTAAGGCGATAAATTAATCACTATCGCTCTACACAATCAATGTACATGTCAACATCTATTAATTTAATTCTAAAGCATCGCACTCTAGGCGATTACAGTCGCGGAAAATCATCCTTCACACTTTCTATTCGTCACAAAATTAATGACCCACCTGAGATTCCATATGAGCCATCCACAACTCCAAGTTACTTAACTTTAGATCTTATATTTATCACTTCGGATGTCACAAATATAAAGTGATTTTGCTTA